CCCAACATTAGTATCTTTCAAGCGTCAGCTTGATGATGCCCTGGCAAACGTTACATTTCAACACCCAACTACATAACATATTCTCCTGTGCTCGTCAAAACATTACTTTACTACTTTACTTTCATGGACTAACTGTGATATTGTGATTCTTCATCCGAACCAAAGTGTAAACACCCTGTGGGATTTGTAAAAGCGAAGTCTTTGTAAGTTATATCCCATAATAAACATTTAAATTTGAATTTGAATCGATAATCTGCTTTGAGAATTTCCTGCAAGGTTTCAAAATCTTCATGATATTGTACCGTCCTCCGTGTTTTACCGTCGTCAGCGAATAATAATGCCTTTTCTGCAAGGACATCTGATAGGTTGTTTAACAAAAGATTAAGAAAAGGTACGGACCAAGTACGAATCGTTGTGGAACTCCACGGGCATTCACACTCGAATCGATAAGGTACATTGTCGAAGAAACTCCTCACCCCTGGTCATGGAGCAGTTCATAAAACCCGTAGTTATGAAGCTTTTGTCGCAATGTACCGTGGTTAATGCCGTTAAAAACTTTGAAGAACTTTTAGAAGACTACATCTGACGCCTTCCGTGAGTTAAAAGAGCTTGTCCAATGATCTCGTGCAAGTAGCAGGTTTGTGGTGCACGAGTGTTTTCTTCTAAACCCGTGTTAGGCCAGTGAAAGAAAGTTATACTTCTCGAAATGCTCGATCGGAGAATCAGAAACAATTGATTCCCATACTTTCTACAGAACAGGAAGAAGTGTAACGGGACAGTAGTTTATGGTATCACTTCGGCAGCCGCGTTTGCAAATTGATGGAACGATACCGTTTTTCCTGGATTGAAGAATCAACGTCTTGTCGAACATGCTTTGGTATAAATGAGCCATTATTTCAGATATTTAATTGGTCAAGGATGTCAGGATCTGTGGGCGGATGTTGTCTTCTGTCCGGGGAAGAATTCTTCAGATTCCAAGGTGACGGTAGTCAGTTGGAAGGGAAGGCGACAGTTGGCAAAAGTTATGAAACCTGCAATATGACATTGTCAGTTGCAGCGAATAATTCATAGAACTGAACGTTTAGGAATGGGGCTGCTTCAGTCGCGGTAGGGGAAATGCGTTATGCATGCCTTAGTACCGGTATTTCATATTTTGCTTTTCTGTTGGTATTGATATGCTCATACAGGACCGTTTGATTGGAACCAAATTTATGTGCCAGAGGTTCTCGACACTGCCCTCTATCTCCTCGTACTAATTTTACACAAAGGTTTTCCAACCTGATATAGTTATCCCAAGTGTCGGTATCTCTGCAACATCTTTTCAACTCTCGCCAGGAGAAATTCCTTTGTAACATCCAATTCCTTATTTGACTGCCAATAGGTGGTAATCCTATGGGTGATGTATCGAGAGGCTTAACGAGCTCTGTTCGAGTGCTCATGAATCTTCTCCAGGACTCCAATGAATTAAACTGTTCTTCCGGGCGAGTCCATTGTTAAGGGTAGTACGGTTCAGTAATTCAGTAATTCTCTGTAATCAATTAGGTTTAGTATTTTGATTTGCAGGTATACTTCTTAATAGGTATGGAATCAAAAAGCAGAGCTGCACGGTCGATGCATCCTAATGGATAGGTTATTTTGACGAATTAGCTAAACGCAAATGACACCAGTTAAGCACCGGCAAAAGAAAAAACCGCACAGTCAACGGCTAGGCAACTTGCAGATATGAGACATCGGATGAGGGAGAGTGGATTCAAGATCATCTACGGAAGTAAATCTATCAAGGGATCCGTTAGACTGGGCTGATGGGGTTCGACACACAACCTCCGTAGCGAGAAGTCTGCAACCTTAGCTGCCTGATACCCACCAAAGAAAAGCCAATAGCTCAGTGACGTCATTCCCATTGACCGTAAACCAAAACAACTATCCAGAGGCGCATACCTTTCTTTTTATTACACACGATTGTGTGATTAACAGCAGAAAATCTGCTATTCACTGATGGAGACCGATAATCTGAGCCCCGGAACTTGGAGTGTCGAATCACATAAGGCCCCACTCGGTTAGGTGTGATATTGAACCAGACGACACAAAAGCTGTCTACCACCAAAGTTGGGTGGTTTCAGATGGGCTCAAACCATAGAGTCCGAAGCACACCGGTGACAGCGTCTATACCACTGCGTCACCACTATCACCAGACTGGCATAAAGCTCTTCCCTAATCCACTGATTTCGGACAACAACAACAAAACCTCAGAACATGACCAGAAACAAATCGCATTCACGTGCCCAGATCATTACACTTATTTGAGGTATTTCAGCTTCATATACAACTTGATAATCTGAAGGAAAATGGAATTTCATATCACCAGCAATGTGCAGAGCAGATTGGCCTGTTGAAAAATTCAAACTTAATGTGATTGAATAAAGATTACGAAGAGCATATCTTACACGTTTGGAGTGCTTAAAATTTCCGTGAAGTCAAATCCATTGTGAACATAACAGTCAAATCTCCACAGGAAATATGACCTGTATTTGATTGACAGATTGATTTACGATCAATCGACTAGATTCAAACCAAAGAAACAGTTGAATATGCCATAACCTCAAATCGATTATCATGTCTCTCTAAATAATCGAATTATACTTCATACTGACCATGGATCACGTGACTTCGATGTGAGTCTAATGATCTTTATCATTTAAAACGGGGTTGAAACTAGATTGAGGATATGACCCGATTACGTCCTAATGAAAAGTTGCTTTAAAGTAAAATAGCACTATCATATGTTGGACTGGGTGGAGAGAAACCAAGTTTTATCATGCTCGCTGAAAATAAGAAATAATTCCGTTACCCATATAATTATATCCATGTGTTCTTGCTCCGCCAAAGCCGATCGATAAACTCGATTCTGTTTACCAATGAGGTTTACGGTGGTTCCCTTGCAAACACTTTTCGACACTAATTGAGATAATTTACCGGTGGTCTGTCTTCTTTGTCATCCAGATTGTGCTCTCTTTAGACAACATGGGTCACAGATCGATATCACATGAGTATTGTCAGTGTCAATGAATCCATTGGGCTGATGTCGCTCACCCAGTGCAAACGTGGGAGCCGTCTGAATCATTTCGGTCCACTCTGGCACGTAAACCTGTGATTTACATCTTCCATTCCTAAACAAAATACACTTTTTGTTCAAAAATAGACTGATTTCGTGTGAACTCATTGGTGTACCGGCACGCGCGTGTGTTGGGCAGAGTGAGAACCGGGAACGCAATTTGGTTTGCACAATACCGAAGATAATGAATGAATTCGGGTGTGATAAATTTTTGTTGATAAACAAGATCGCGAAAAAAACAATCAGTGACAAATAATAAACGAACAACCGGAAGTTGTACGATCAGATTTCCGGACAGCATTCAGAAAGAAAAGGTGCCAAACAAATGTTACCGTGAAATGTTTTCAAAAGTTAAGGCAGCCGTGATGAGACAAACAGTAAAGTGTATTCTTTTTCCTCCTGTTCGTCCAGTCTGGTCATTTGTTTGCAAACGTTTCATCACCGGCCGAGGTAACATCATCAGCGCTGTATACGGGGGGAAACAAACGCGGTTTTCGCAAGGAATATCGATTGTAATCACCTGGTCAATAGGAATTTGCTCCAGCCTCACCAACCCCGCCCCCCTGCCCGCCCGCCCCCAGGGCCCCGCAAAATCTTTGTTTCAATGTACATGAAAACGTTTTCTTCTTGTATATATCATTCATTGATCTGTACTGGAAATGGTTATGCACACTGCAAAGCGTTATCCGTCATTTGAACCAGCAAACACAAAGTATACTATTGCTTATATAGTTTATATGCTTGCTTGTTCCGTTCACTGTTTTGTGCTAAAGCAGTCTCAATCTGCGTGAGCTGATTACGGTTCGTGAATAGGAGGGGGGGGAGGCGACTTGTTCACGACCAATTTTTCTTTTACCGCTCATTGCCACATCCTAGTGTTGATGGCATGCTCAAAACGAGGAGATAAGGGAAACGAGTTTAATCTTTTATCGGCGATGACAAAACATCTTCTTGCATGCTCGTTTCCTTTTCGCGGAATACGAAATGGCATTACTAGTTTGCCTGGGTTGCATAAGAGCCTAATGGCGTTTAGGATATCTGGGGTTTTTTTTATTGTAAATAATAGGCGGTAAAATTCGCAAAATTTGGTTGGTTATTGTCCTCCCACCACCGCCCAGAGTTGTATGAAATCACAGTAATTTACTAAATTTCTTCGTTGAAGCATGAAAACAACCGGTATCCTGATTAGGTCTTCCGCTCCGTTATTTCTAGCGGTGGCATCCGTGTTGGAGAATGAAATGTCGCTGAAATCTAGCAAATTGCAACAATCTCCTTTTCGTTCATACACACTGAGCGACAAATACAGTGAGAGTCTTCCAGCCTCTCCCAATCGAGGTGCGCTGTGACGTATCTAATATCCCGGTATGATTAGCAAGGTGGACTCGGAACGACAAAACCTGAACTGACCAAATTTGTTCTTACGTCACAGTAGATGGATGCTTGCACACTGACAGATAGATAACACTTGTGTATGGTGGGAATCACCCAAACTGTGTGTGTGTGTTTGGTGTGTGCTTGTGTGAATCCTCCATGCTATTGTGTTTTACTCTGAATCGATCGATGACAGATTTTATACCCCGTGCATCACTGTTGCTCACCCGTGGTGAATTCACAGTTTACACAATGACACCAGGGTCTGGCTTCCCGGGAATCACACCCAATTCAAGTATAATACAGGTCATTTTTTTAATCTTTCGCATAGTGAGTGCGATTTTGAGATAAAATTATTCCACAGCATGCAGAACTATTACGTAATAGACATGTGAAACACATCATATACCATTCCAGTATAGAACTCGTGTGACATTCCTATGTGAATCTGCTCATACTCTTAGCCCCAGGGCTCGATTCATTAACTAACTCCAGTCTTCATATCTTTCGTGCTGTTTCCGATCGATCGTATTTGTTGGCGTTTTACAGCTCACTTAAACTGGCTTACTTTGGCGAATGTTCAGAGTTGTTTACATCAGTTGATCAATTCAATTGAATTGATCTGCGTACTTCAGGCAATTGTTGTCACCTCTATTGATTCTCATTTTGTATCAGCGGTTTCTCCGTAAATTCATCTGTTTATTCTTTTAAAGATCCCATTTGCGTGTGGTCTTGAGTCAAACTGTTCCAAACAGAAACGAATACAAGTTCTGTTTGATACACGCAACCATTGTATTTCGCTTCCAGTTACAGTTCTCAATTAAATCAATCCGTATGAATTCATATTTGTTCTCATTTCTCCAACTCTCTTCCGATCAAGACTATGCACACGACATTGTGCTACTAAGTGAAGATCCAGGTAAGATGCAAGACTTTCTGGATAGCTTGAGTACCAGCGTAGCCATGTTCGGTACGCATTTTGCACCAACAAAGTGTAAAATACCATTATAAGACTGGTTTGGTCCAGTACCCAGACTCACTTCCTCTGGGGAAATAATAGAGGAAGTGGATAAGTTTCGTTACTTGGGCAGCTACATCTCACTCGGTGAACGCATCACGAATGAAGTGTCAGCTCTCACACAGAATGCTTGGTCGGCATGTACCACATTGAGACATCTATTGCGCCGTCGCGACATACGGTTGTCTGTGAAGCGTCGAGTGTATGCTGTAGCAGTTTGGCCAGCTCTGCTATACGGCACCGAAACTTGGCCATTAAGAAAACAGGGTGAATGTAGACTGTCGGTGTTTAAACATCGCCGAGCAGTGCTGAGATTGGGTGCAGAATTTTAGGTAAATGAGGTCACTGGAGCAAGTGGTCGATCTCCATAGATTACGTTAGCTGGGGAGTGTTATACATGTCACCGGATAGGTTGCCACGGCGAAGAATTTCAGGGGTGGTCAAGCTAAGACCTGGCAGAAGGGTATGAAAACCCTAACCAGGAGTCTGGGTCACATAGATCCTGTTTGGCTCCCTGGTTGCGTTTCGCAAACAATGGCGTTAGTGCATCTTGTCAACTTCTTCTCAGCATGAGTCCACTAAACTGTTCAATTTTCTCTTCGATCTAACTTTCAATCTTCCTGTTTTCTTCCTATTGTTCATCCAAATGGGAGCCAAAAGGCAGCAACCAAAAGCGACGCATGGAAAATTATGCTTAATGGTTGTCTAAACTGAACTGAAGTGAACTTCAATGTGTACCGATTGACTCGGACTTATGCTCGGTATAGTTTCCAATTACTGCATTGTGGTCTCCACTGACATCAAGCTCTACCGTTCAGCCTATTTACCCGAAAGAGTTGGATTTCAAAGTGATGGAGTGACAAATGAGTGCACGCAAAATACTTGTGCACCAAATCCTTTCGTACCTCGTGCACTCATCACAAACTGCCCCGGTCTCCCGTTTAGCCCATTTTCATCTACAATATCACACATGAGGGCTGAGCAAAACGTTTCCCGATGCACAAAACGTTTCATTTGTTACACGAAAATAGTCCTTACATTTTCTCGAAGTATTCTTTAACAGCTTTCATGCGCTCAAACCATTTTATGAGACGGTTCGACCATATCGAAGCAAGTAACCCTTCTAGCAGTTAGACGAATGCCTCCACTGCAGCTGTTGGTTACCCGTATCGGATTCCACTCTTTGTGTACATTTGGGAGCTAAAAATAGTCACATGGAGCCAGGACTGGATGCGTTCTCTAGCCAGAAAATTGTTGATCACATGTGATTTTGTATGCAGGTGCTGTGTCATGATACAACAAAGTCCCTAATGCCCGAAACTTTGGATGGCGCTTAGCATCAGCTTCCAGCACTTTTGGCAGACATTAGTAAGCGTACCAGTCTCCGGTGACTGTGCTTTGCTGTACTAGCGGTACCGTAGCCACGTAATCAGTTTTGGCCATGAACACAGCCACCATTTGGTTTATCACATTGCCCCCGCGTTGGAATATCTGGGGCGACGTCGTACCGCCTGTCATCGATTGTTGCTTGGTCTCTGGGTCGAAACTATACACTCAGGTTTCATCACCTTTGATGATCTACCAAAATGCACTGACACGTCCACCATCAAACCTGGCAAGTATGGTGCGGCAATAACTCACCCCAACTGCTTTTCCATGCCACAGTGAGCTGATAAGGCATCCAGCGTGCACAAACCGTTCTGAGCTCAAGTTTCTCATGTAGGAAGACGCGGATTGATCCCGATCAGATCCCGATTTCTTTCATCAGCTGCGCCACTGTCAACCGCGCATCACCCGTACAGCAGCAATGTTTTCCGCCGTGGTGGCCTCCATAGGTCGACCACACCATGTCTCCTCATCCACAGATCGCCTTTCATGCTGGAATTGCCCCAGACGAATCAAACACAATGCTTCTTGAAGGCGTGTCATCCCCAAAGGCAGCTCGCATACGATCCGCACTCTGCTGCTGCTGCTGCTGCTGCTGCTGCTGCTGCTGCTGCTGCTGCTTTAAACCGCATTTGTAGTCCTAGAAAACCATCATCCTCCAGTCAAATGAGCTGAGTTGCACCTTTACAGTCACACACATTCCCAAAGAAAGGAAACATACCCCAATTGCGAAATGTTTTAGACAATGTGCTCTTACATCTACCGATTTGAAACTGATAGAGCGTCCGGTTCTGCATAGTCACCAGGTGTCCACGATAATTCTAGATAATATTTATCAGTTTTCATACAAGAATAACCACTCCAAATTGAATGCCATTTCTTCCATAGTTCACTTCATCTCCCGATCCCCAAAACGATAAATTCAACTATGTGTATACTATTGATTTCTTGATATTTCTTCCTCCTTCGACTAGGTGCTCGTTTCTCGTTTACTTTTCAAGTTGTAGTCGTTTGGTTGTCCTTTTTTCTCATTTTTTCCCGTTGATTTAGAGACGAATTTTCGCCATAGAAGCAGTGTGCGACATCAGAAGAAGAAACACAATCGACGGTGTCATTCAATAGAAGGGGGAAGGGGCGACGGGGGGGACGGTGATAACTCAAGGTGCTGTTTTTTCACCCTACTTACACCCATAAATCAGTAATTTATCTTAACTGCACGTTGTATGATATTTCAATTATTTGCTGATACGATTGACCCTTCTTTTTTACATATCTGACCCATGCAAACTGGCAGCATATTACACTAACCTATCCCAGCTCGTTACGTAACCCGCCTTATCCGGTCCTAAGCTTAACGCTGAAAAATGCGTCCCTTCTTTTATTCATTCCTCATTTCCTTCCAACAAAGCACAGATTCGGGGAAATTTCGATGAACAGGGTTAACCATATGAAGTATTTATGTGTCACTCTTGACAGTAACCACTGCTGATCTTCACAAACTCGAACTGTTACACACAATCGAAAAGGTCTCTACTTTCAGATAAAAAGACTGCATCATCTCTGTTCTGATCAGTCGGTCATAGACGCTTTTGTTCAACAATGTGTTCTCTCCCTATACCATCCTACTGCTCCCGTGTGATTTGCCTTGGTTCGCTGAAATCGTAATTTAAGCTGTTGAGGCGTGGTTTCACAATGATCAGCTGTGTTTATCAAGTTTCTTTTACCTGTTTTGATTGAAAATATCTGTGATGCTCATATTGATGCTGGCTTTAAGTTTGTATTTTCTCATGTTTACTCACTCAATGTCCCGCTTTTCCCTCTTTTTTCTAGTATGATAGTGGGGGGTTCTTTTTGATCGAAGGCTTGTTTAAAACTTACTTAAATCTACTTTCACTCCAGGGTGTTGGACAATTATTTGTTCCAGTGTGCCATCGAGTCGCAGCTTGAAGGAATCTAACCTGCACTGTTACTGTAGGTACAGCCATCTTGCTGGAAGCAGTGTCACTGAAGGCTGCTTAACAATCGGCAAGAATGCGCATTCGGCGTTTGGGAGTTTTTGTGCAGTTGTCTGTTGAATAACACTGGCAATAAGGCAGCATGATTTCCGGTCACAAAATAACTAGTTCCCAGTGATTTTTTTCGTTTATGTGGATGAAGAATACATGGTTAGCAATTCACTCCAGAATACAACTGCAGTGACAAATTTTGGCGCAACCGTTCAAGGTGCACATACATGTTCGACTCTCACGTCGATGAAATGCTGTTTATGGCCTGGCACAAACAGCGGAAGTAAGTGTTCCTATCTATGATCCCAAATGTAATAAGAAATAAATATAATACAAATATATATATATATAATATTTTATCGTTGCGCTATGTTGGTATCAGAAAAATCCGATCGTCATCAATTAGCAGTTACCTAGCGAAACAGATTGAATCCTCGCTAAGCGGTAACTCTGACGATTGCTCTTCTGCTCATCTTTTCTACACTGAGGGATTTTCTGATCATCCGAATAGTATTTCAATCCTGAAAGCAAATCACATTTTATTTTATTTTATAATACCAAATATTTACACAGATACATTTGTCTTTTGTGCAGTACAAATCAAAATGTTTTTTCAAACCATATGTGTTATAGTTCACACGATAATGCGTGAAACTCCCTCAAGGTCATCCGTTTTTCCCATCCATCTATGTTTCGTGCATCTTCAAGCCCATCTTACTTAGGGAACGTGAAAATTCCAA